GAGAGAGAGAGAGGAAGAGCGAGAGAGCGAGAGAGAGAGAGAGCGCACCGTCTCACTTCTCTTTCCAAGATAGATAGAAAGAGGAAGAAGGAGAGAGAGAGAGAGAGAGAGAGAGAGAGAGAGAGAGAGAGGAGAGAGAGAAGAGAGAGAGAGAGAGAGAGAGAGAGAGAGATAGAGAGAGAGAGAGAGAGAGAGAGAGAGCGTACCGTCTCACTTCTCTTTCCAAGATGACACAACATAATAACAAGTTACACAGCTTTTAATTCAATATCCTCTTTGTCACCACATGTCCGCCGAATATAACTTTCTCACAATGAATATGATACAAAATTGGACCCTTAGAGAATAGACTTGCGACATTCAATACATATGTGGGTATGTGTAGGGGGCGGCACCTGTCCGAATCCGCAATAGAGGCTTCGGCTCTTTATTTATTGTGACGTTATAGGAACAATATCAAATTACGTCGCTTTTGCTTCGTGTCGGCTGTTGTTCGGATGAGGTGTTCGTATTTTGAATTGCGGCGGCGGGGTGTGCCAGGAAGAAACGTTTCGACTCGCGAGGAAACTCTTCCCGTCGTCTTGGAAGACAAAGCAATCGGATAATTTTGAATACCTGGGGAGGTGGGTATGTGTGGGCAGCACAAGAAAAAAAAAATGGCTGAAAACACGACTGACCTCTACGACTAGAGTCTACTGGCCAATGAGAATCGAGAAGTAGTCCGTCTCGCATTCTGATTGGTCCGTTCGTAGCCCCGCTGAAACAATGGCGACGGAGCTGCCGCGCTCACCCACCTCTCCGGTTCACATTGAATTTCTCCTCAGTGATGAGAGGGAGGTGAGGGAGAGAGCTGCTGTGCGTCCGCGTGTCGACAAACGTGACAGTGTATTTTTTAATCACATTTAAAATCCATAAAAAATATTACCCCAACCGCTGGATTATGTAAAAAGGAAAAACATAAACGGAGAAGAAGTCAAGCGAGCCACGAGAATGACGGACGAAAGGATGGCAAAGAAAGTGTTTTTTGGGCGCTAGCAGATAAACAGGTGGGTGACAGGTGGTGTATGGAGAAGGTGGAAGGGAAAAGGTGGTGGAAGAGAAGGTGGATCAGCTGATGACCCAGTGACACGGCGGAGGTGGAAGAGGAGGATGACTGGAATATTTGAGACGGAATTCCAGTGGTAATGATGATGATGAACAATTTAATGATGATAATGATAACGAAAAGGAAAGTGATATTAACAGCAGCAACAGAATGTCGATGATAAACGCAAGTGACGAAAAGGCCTTAATGAATAATGATGATGATAATAATAATAACAGTAATGATAATGATGACATAATATATCACCATTGATAATGAATATAACAGTAAAACAGTAATGATAATGATGACATAATACAACCATTGAATAATGAATATAACAGTAATAACAGTAATGATAATGATGACATAATACACCATTGATAATGAATATAACAGTAATAACAGTAATGGTAATGATGACGTAATATCAACACCATTGAAAATGAATATAATAATGACAATAGTAATAGCAATGATAACAATGATAATAACAACAATAATGACTGGGAAAAATTTATAACAGCATTGGTAATCACAAATTATGGAACATCCCCTCCCCCCAAAAAAAGAAAAAAATAGATATAAAAGATAAACACAATAAACAAACAATGAATAACAAATGATAATTACGAAAGAAAACAAAACCGTAAACTAATATTTAAAACAAAGGTCGTTCCCGGAGCCTAGATAAGGGAGAAATACAATTAAATTGGTTGTTATTGGATGAAATAGTGTAGAGACAGACAGAGAAAGGGAGAGAGAGGGAGGGGAGGGAAAGAGAGAGGGAGGGAGGGGAGAGGAGAGAGAGAGGGGGAGGGAAGGAGAGGAGAGACAGAGGAAAAGTTTTGAGAGAGAGAGAGGGGGGAGGGAGATTGAGAAACAGAGAGAGAGAGAGAGAGAGGGGGAGGAGGGGAGGGGATAAAGAAAAGAGAGAAGAGAGAGGGAGACACGAGGGAAAGGGAAAAAAAAGACTGGAGGAAGGGAAAGGGAGAGAGACAAGATAAAGCATACAATACAAAAAAAGAAAAAGAGCGAGCGAGCGAGAGCGAGAGCGAGAGAAAGAGTAAGAAGAATGTCCTCTGTGTCGAGATGACTTCATCCGTGCAATTGATTTATATATAACACAAATATTCTGGCTGGGAGTGTATTGCATGGTTGCTGGATTGTGCGTGCGTGTCTGTGTCTGTCTCGTTTGTCTGTCTCGTTGCGTGTCTGTCTGTATCTCTGTCTCTGTCTGTCTCCTGTCTCTCTCTCTTTTTCTCTTTTTCTGTTTTCTTTTCTCTTTCTCTTTCTGTTCTGTTTCTGTTCTTCTTTCTCTCTCTCTCTCTCTCTCTTCTCTCTCTTCTCTCTCTCCTCCTCTCATCTCTCTCTCCTCTCTCTCCTCTCTCTCTCTCTCCTCTCTTTCTCTCTCTC